CAGACCAGCACATAGTTGTGTGAAAAACACATTGGTGGCGTTTAGTGAGCATGGGAGGGGAAGAGACCCAGAAACACTGGGACTGGGAGAGGAACGGGGCTCACGCACACCTTTTGTGCACGGGACTGAGCAGAGATTCAGCCGAGCTTTCCTCCGCATGAGAAAAGTCCTCAGGATGCTGTACAGTGTTGCCTCTGTGGCCCAACATGCACCGCCAGACACGCTGTGCTTTAGGAAAGGGAAAAACACCACTTTACATTAGACCAATCCATCCCCGCACTTGAGACTCTATACTGTAATTGAGTTAAGACGCCGCTGGAGTCTCTGGTGCGATTTGCCGTTGGCGGGCAGTGGAGTAAGCATCCTCTCTCCCTCTGGCCAGCTCGGCTGATGTGGTTTGAACAAGTGTCTGTAGTGATCCACTTCGGGGCTCCCAGGGAGTATTGGGTTGCCGGATGAGGATGTGGCCTGATGGAGCTCAGGGAACTTTGGGGGGGGTTGGCCTGCAATCTGGGCTGTGCTGGGCCTTCCGCATGCTACTGTGTGACTGTTACCTTGCTGTCTGCTGCAGCCCGCTCACCTCCCATGCTAACCTTCCACTCTGGGCACTGTGGAGTACGGCGAATGCTTTGGTAAATTCAATCATGTCCTAATGGGGCATTGGCTCCATTTACATTATGGAGCAAGAGCAGGAGGTGGGACTGACTACTACTACAGTTATCTCCATCAAATTCTTTCCTCCATCAATTTCTCTGTGTAATAAAACAAAACAACACCATTTTATCATAACCAGATACTCTTGCATTTAATGGTCTTTAAAATCCCACTCTGAATAAAGCCCCCATTAATATATTAGTTTAGCATAAATTACATTAAAATACAGGAATAATTGTACTATGGCTCGTTGGTGGGTAATATATGTCTGTTCAGGTTTTCCCTTAACTTATGCTTTCTCCAAAACTGTGTAAAAAGCCATGCATAATCACTATGGTAACGACTCCCCCTCAAACTGGCTGCTCAAGGGAGGACTTGTTTACCATCTCTGCTCCAGACTCAATAACATGTCAGTCATCAGGATTGGAACCTCCCCTGCCCACCTGCTATTGGTCCAGCCGATGGCTCCCAGTTTAACCCCCACCTTCCTCTTCCCAGACACCCTCCTCGCTGTCGTCCCTCCCCTCGAGCCCCACTGTGAATAATGAATGATTTCCCAACTGTCTGCCACGCTTCCTACTCCTCTTCACTGACGCAGGCGAAACACTTTGATATGTTAGGAACAATGAACTCTTTCATCTTTCATTGGATCTGTCTTAGGTTTCACTGGCTGACACCTGCGATTGGTTTGGGGAAATTATACCAGTTTACCGAACTGCTTGTGTTTTTTACACAATAGTTCATCTTTAGAGTGGACCGTCTCGCTGCCAGTGAAAATGTCCCCGGCCCCCCGATGTAAACAAAGTAGTAGTCACTGAGAACGCGTGCTGTGTAGCAAACGGGACATGGCTGGCATTCACAAGAGGAGAATCGCTGCGCTGCAGTCGTCTCCCCTTCAAGCACCAACGTCATTCTTGAAGTTTTTCTGCTTTGTTTAGATCCCAACTTTGAACCCTCACACACATCTTCCCATAACAGACACAAACACACGCAGACACAAACACCAACCCTTCTCCAGACACACACAGAGTGTTGAAATCTAGCTGTCTTGTTATAAGCTTTTTTTCTTTGTTGATGCAGACTGTGGGGGGAGAGGAGGGGTGAGGCACGGGTGACGCGTTTTGGTTTCCTAAAGCTCTCTTGCATGCCAGGCTTTAAGAAGGCAAGGCCGGGCTGACGGAGAAAGTAATTCGATGCTTGACGCCTTTTGCTCTAATGCATCTTTTTTTAGAAGGCAAAGTACCAACACCTTTTTGTATCCTTTTGTTTTGTCCTTGGCTTCATTTCCTCACCTACTTTAAACCTCCATAATCCTGTTTACTGCCAAAGTAGCCTTCCCATCTCAGGTTTCCGTAGAAATTCACAGTTTTTATTGTGTCGTTGCAGCACAACGGCAATAACCTGCTCCCTCTTAAATCTCTTGCAGCCTGAAACATTTTGCAGATTCTTCGCATAGTTTCGCGACTGGGTGAAAACCCCCCCGGAAAAATACTGTATTTGTCCGTCTCTCAGCGTTGATGACTCATCCTCACACTGCTCGTGAGTTGCTCAAAAGGAGACTCTTCATTGCGGACTCTGGTTGCCTCCTGAACTGTTGATGAAACGGCCGTGGCCGCTCTGCGCGTCGTAGCGCTCTGGCCAGCAGCAGGCGTCTGACCTGTCTGCTCAGGGAATGAGCAAGACGGAGTGGTGTGGTGGTGCGGTGTAACTACTGAATCAGTAGAACAACATCATAAACCTCCCTACCCCATCTACCGACCAGTGGGACCAGTTGCCTCCCTGCAACAGTTGCCTCATGTGATACAGTGTGTTCATAAGGTCAAATCCCAACCTGCCGATGCCTCTAATTTATTCTTGTTCATATTGAGCATCCAGTCAGGGGAGTACAAGAATGATACGAGGAGCCCCTTGCTAGGAAGTCCCGTTCCTTTTGAAGTAGTGGAAACCCCACAATGGCCTGCATAGCTATGTGTTGAAAGCAACAGTGTTGAAATAGCGACGCTATTAGGAGCATCTATAAATGGAGGCGGTATCCTTGATACCACGGGTTGTTTGGTCACACAGTGAAACCGGGTTGACTTATATGGATTTAAAGAAGCAGCTCTCTCTCTCTCTCTCTCTGCTTTCTTGTAACGGAAGTTATGCATGTTTGGAACTTGTCTTCATTGAGGAATCGGTTAAAATGATGCGGAACCGAAGGGGACCTCATCAAATCAGATCGCATCGGATCTCATCGGAGTTTGCCTTGGCTGCCCCCTTTTGGTCGGATTCCAACAGAATAAACCCTCCTCGAGGTTTCTCCAATGTGCAAAAGTGCAACACTGATGTCAGCATCATATCTCCAGTGAATCACTGCTGTTATAGGAAATCTTGTGTTTATCGGCCTTCAATGCAGTAGTTTGAAAGAATCTTCTTCTTTAATCTTCTTTTTTTGTTATGGACCACAGCCAGAATAGTTTTGTATTCATAAAGTATCCAAGAGTGCACACACACACACACACATTGTGCGTGGGTACATTAGTGGAGAGGCCATGTAGGTAAATATTCTTCTTGCTCATTTCATCATGACAATGTTTACCGCAGTGTATTTTTATTTTACGGTCTTATCCGGAGAAGAGTGTGTGGTGCTGCTGTGTATTGAACAATATAGGTGTTCTACCAGGTCAATCACAAGGACATTTAACAGAACATATATTTTGTCATAGAATTTTCAGTAACCGTCCATTTCTCCTTTGAACTTGTGGCACTTGGCTGGATGTGATAGCAAGTATTTTAGTAAAAGGAGTTGGAATAATCATTCCCACGGCCTTGTGAAGCCAAACTGGAGTTGGCACTTTGGGAGCATCACTGTGTGCACCATCACGGTCTTATATACAGATGTTTTTTAAAGCACCATAAAATATTCATCAAGAGAGGATTAGCTCAGCGGCCGGCTTCATTTTCTCGACTGATTCACTAAGCAAACCACTGATGCTCCGACACCCGCGTTTAATTTAAAAGCAAATAAACAAGCGGAGCTCCGTTTCCTCTCCGCTCTCTCGCGCGCACACACACACACATTCACATATTAACATGTGCACCCATGTCACACAGACATACACACTTATTCTACATTATGTTTTCATTTTGAAAAGTTTTAGGGTTGAAATAATGACTCTAAAGTAATATGTGCAGTGTCACATTATATAAAAGATTGTGGTCAAATGTGTGGTTGAATGTACTTTTAGTGTGTGTGTGTGTGTGTGTGTGTGTGTGTGTGTGTGTGTGTGTGTGTTCACATTTCCATCCCACCCTGGCTTTGTGCGAGGAGGCGGTTGCGAAGAAACCAGGACTCTTTCACAATTTCTTAAATTTTTTTTATATGTTATTTTTTCAAACAAATGATCATATATTTCCTCTGTGTTTCACTATTCCATAAAGGAACCTGACCCTTTTAACTCGGTTTGTCCCAGAGCCACATTTAGTGCACACGGTGAAACAATCATTAACAGAAAGCGTCTTGTCAACAGTTTTTTTTTTTACACTCACTCACACTCACTCACTCACTCAGACACACACACACACACACACACACACACACACACACACACACACACACACACACAGGTGCTCAGGAGTGGAATCATCAACTAGGAGACCTCTGCCTGCAGTGCCTCAAGAGCTATTGGGAACCATAAGCTTTGCATCCTTACATCTGCTTTTACTGACATGCTACTTCATGAATACATTTCAGCATTAAAAACAAACCTTCCATTTGTCCTTTTCACATTTTATATTTAAGCGAACAGCTGATCAGATTAACATGAGTGGGTACCAACAAGCACTGGCCTCATTTTTGGCCTTTAATGAGTAACTTTAATCCTTTCTGTGTCAAAGTTTTGTTCTATAAATCTGTCAAACTTTCAAACTTTCAAAACTCTTTCAATTGTCTGTTTCAATCAATGGGGAAAACCTGTGTGTTATTGAAAACATATTATGGGGTTTTGGTTCTGCTTTCTCAGGGATGCTCAGTAAACAGTGAGGAAACTCCGTCATTTGTTTTGCTCTAGCTTAATTTGAAACAATCCACACAATAATTATCCTGTTGATTTGACTTTTTCTTTTCTTTCTTCTCACAGCCTGAAAGTATGTGCGGTATTGTTCAGAGGCTGTTAGTGGGACTTGTGCAGCGTGTATAGGAACATGTGTTGTGAACGCACACACGTGATCCTTATTAACGTATTATAGGCATTATTCACAGAATTTGGTTTGTCATCCTCGACTTTGTTGTAATAGCGCTCGGTCGCGCAGACTGTTCACGACCAATCGAAACTGACCTCCTCCCCGTCTCTCTTACTTTCCCCCAGTATGCCCCGAACACTGCAAGCTGGCCTGTACAGACCAGGGGGAGTGTTGCCACAGCCAGTGCCTGGGCAGCTGCACCGAACCCAACAACGACATGGCGTGCTCCGGCTGCCTCCACTACTACCACGAGGATCGCTGCGTGCCGGACTGTCCCCCAGACACCTACAAGTTTGAGGGCTGGCGCTGCATCACCATGGACCTGTGCTCCCAAGTGCACCTGCCCGGCGATACTCCCTTCGTCATCCACGGGGGAGAGTGCATGCTCGACTGCCCCTCTGGCTTCACGCGAGAGGCAAACCGGTAAAGGCTTTTAAAAGAGTGAATGGCCTTTTTCAACGCTTTCAACATCACCATCATTTTTATAGATTAACGCTTAAAAGGTTTTAAGGCGAGTCCACTTCAAATATTCACTTGACGTTTCCTTTGTTTGACATTCTGCCTCAAAGAGAGAAAAATTCTTTGCGTGCGACTTCCCCGTCTCGTCGATTCCCAAATTTCTATCCGACTCTGCTGTGCTCTTGGCCATACTTTGTTTTATCTATGAGGTCAATACAGTGAGTCACACTCTCAAGACGTTTAGACCAGGGCCCATAAAAGATTAAACTCTCCGTGTGAGAGGTGACCTTGTGTTATGGAGGGAATATATTTGCCTTTGGAATGCTTGGGAAACGGAGAGTGGACAAACGATTTCAGGGTGAGGTAGAAACGTTTATTTATTTTTTTCATTCTCTGACATTACGTATCACTAACTTACGTTCTTCTTATCCTCTCTCCTTTTGCTGTAAACAGAATGTTTTGCACTCCCTGCAATGGCCTGTGTGATAAGGTCTGCACGTCGCCCATCATCGACTCGGTGAACGCTGCTCAGTCCCTGAAGGACTGCACCATCATCGAAGGCAATCTGGACATCAATATCCGCCGTGGAAGTGGGTGAAGCCACACAGACGCACAGTGCTTAGAACATATTATGTGACGTCTCAGTGTAGCTGAGCTTAGTAGAATATGCTACACTACATTAAGCAACATCACATTCAATCCCTTATTTGTTGCCAATCCGTCGTCCAATGCGCTCTCGAATTTTTCATTATACTGATTTTACTACACAATGTTGCGCTTTACAGCCCAGTAAATATTCTGATGCTATAATGCATTTGCTCAATTGGCCGCGCAGCTCACAATCCAATCTTGACATATTATAACACGTTGAAGCGTGTTTCAACGTCGCTTTCGCCTGCTGTTTAACATCTCCGTCTGTGTATGTTCATCCCGTCCCCAGATAACATAGCGTCTGAGCTGGAGAGCTTCATGGGGTTGATCCAGACAGTGACGGGCTACGTGAAGATTCGGCACTCCCACGCACTCGGCTCGTTGTCCTTCCTCAAGAGCCTGCGTTACATCAGTGGCCAGGAACTCATCGACAAGTACGTCCGCGATGTTTGTCTGCATTGTTTTCGTCGCTGAATGTGTGCGCGCTTATTGGCAAGGCAATAAGAGGCCACGAGCAGCCACTGTCCAGTGCATTGTAGACATTTTAAAAACATAGTGATTCAGACAGGCCAGAATTATGAGCGTGACTACAAAGCTAAAAGGGTTTTCTGTCACAGTGTGACATCAGCAGCAGTTTGGATATGAGAAAAAAAAAGCCTTTTTGGTTATGGCCAGAGGGGTCATGGGAAATCCCGTCCTCCTTCTTGTTGTTTCTCCCGGGGCAGTTTCTCTCTGTGGAACGCCGTTGACGATGGCAGACATTGCTTTCACTTTGGAGGTGTTCAGCTGCGTAACGGACCGACTCGAGCTCAGAGTATTAGCATGATCTGTGTCTGTCCTCTGTATGAACCCGGGCTGTCAAACAGACACACAAACCTCATGCAACGTTTATCTGTTCGTGCGCCGCCCCAAAGCTCCTGTTTAACCGCATTTCTGACAACTTCAGCTTCCACGAAACAAATTCATATATATACATTCAGCTGCTGTTAATCAGTGAGGGCTGTCTGTAACCTCTCATTCATCTCCTTCCATTTTCAGCATGTATTCGTTCTCTGCCATCGACAACCAGCACCTGCAGTACTTGTGGGATTGGAGTCAACACAACTTGACTATTGAGAATGGACGTCTCTTCTTTCGCCTGAACCCCAAACTCTGCATGATTGAGATCCACAATATGTGGGAGAATACGGGCATTGCCGTGAAGCCAGAGAAGGGCGATTTCCGTAACAACGGTGAACGAGCCAGCTGTGAGTGTATTCGGATGGACTTTGATGCATTGAAAGACAATGGACGGATTTGTTTGTTGTGAATTGTCTTAACGCCGCACTCGTCTCTTGCGCGTCCTGCTCTGTCGACAGGTGAAAGTCATGTCTTGAAGTTCAAGTCTAACATCACTACGAGCCACAGCATGAGGCTGACATGGGAGCGCTACGCGCCGCAGGGCTACAGTGACCTGATCAGCTTCGTAGTCTACTACAAGGAGTCGTGAGTACTTCCAAAACTCCCAATAAGGCAGGATGGGTATGATGAGGTGTTTTTTGCAACAACATATTCTGTTTTGGCCACTCGGGTTGGAACAGGATTCTCCTTAATGTATTAGTCTTTATGTAATATGAATCTTAATTATCTTAATCACGATTACTGAGAACCCCTTATTACAGATGACCAGCAGAAGAACTGCAATACAACCAACCAAATTAACATCATCATATCTGATCTGGGTTTAATCTGGGTCGGATTTTCTTATACAAATTTAAGTTATACAGGCAAAAAGTTGCTGTCTTTTAGATATGTAATATTGTTTTTGAGATGAATCATATCCTTGACTTAGAATTTGATTAATTTTCACACCACCAATGCATTTTTATGTACATAGATGTCTTCTTTATGTAAATGGTGAACATTCTTTTCAATCAATGTACAATTATGTTTTGTGTCTTTGCCAGCCCGTTTCAGAACATCACGGAGTTTGACGGACAGGATGGCTGTGGCTCAAACAGCTGGCACATGGTGGATGTGGATTTGCCTCAGGATAAAATCAATGACCCTAAAGTCAGTCTTCAACAACTGAAGCCCTGGACCCAGTACGCTATTTTTGTGAAGGCCATCACCCTCCAGGTGGAGAACAAACACATTACTGGAGCAAAGAGTGATATCATCTACATCCGCACACGCCCATCACGTAAGTCTGTCAGCCATCAGCCTGTTCGCACCGATACTGTATTCGCCAGTTATATCTAATGCTGTGAATAGTATTATCATCAACCCGTTTAGTAATTACTGTAAAAATAAATGATGTAGCGAACTGACTTTGGCCCATTTGCAGCGCCGTCTATGCCCAAAGATGCCCGGGCGTTTGCCAACTCCTCAACCACGTTAATGGTGAAGTGGTCGCCTCCAGCCTTCCCCAACGGCAACCTGACGTACTACCTGGTCCGATGGCAGCAGCAGCCCGAGGACAGGGAGCTCTACCAACATAACTACTGCTCCAAAGGTACGCCACTCTGTGTGTGTGTGTGTGTGTGTGTGTGTGTGTGTGTGTGTGTGTGTGTGTGTATAGCCAGCAGCTAGTTAGCTTAGCTTAGCATAAAGATTGGAAAGGAATTGAAATGTTCTTTTTTACACTTTTGATTTTTGTATACATGAAAAGAACAAAAAGGAATTTTAATTACTGAGCTAAGTTAACGATCTGCTGTAAGCTTCCTATTTCCATTCAGAGTTGTATCAATCTTCTCATCTTAAACGCAGCAAAAAACTGAACATTTTTCTTTAATATTGATTTATAAATCTAGGCAGAAAATATATCAAAACATCTTATCTATCGTTCCCGTTGCTTAATACTTGTTTTCTACTAAAACAGAGCTGAAGGTCCCGATCCGTCTCCCAGCCACAGGGTTCACGGACATGGAGGACAACACCAAGCCCACCAAGTCAGACCTAGCAGGCGGAGACAAGGGCCCATGCTGTAAATGCCAGAAGACGCCTGAGGAGAAGGACAGGGAGAAAGATGACCGCGTCTTTTTGAAAATCTTTGAGAACTTCCTTCACAACGCCATCTTTCTGCCGAGGTGATCTAAGCTACTGATATCACGCTTCTAATACCTGCCTCCGAGTCATCTGTTAAACTGTTTACAACTCCTCTGGGCTTCCTTTGATTCTGTAAAGATGGCAATCAAAAGAGCTGGAGTGGTTCGCCTTGAAGGGTCAGAATGAGGAAAGCGGTGGTGGGCCGGGTTTGTTGTGGCTGACAGAATCCAAGCAAAGGGGGGAGGGGGCGACGATGTACCTGACGGGCGCTGAGCCGGCCTGCTGGGCTTGGCCATTTAGTCATGTGTTGCAGATGAGGAGGCATGCTGAGTAGGATCCAATGCCTTTTTAGTGCTCTTGTGGCTTTGTGTTGCCATGGCAGCGGGGGCACGGGGGATGTTAGAACCAAAGCAGGCAGCAATTTAGGCAACACAAACAAACCCAGGAGAGAGATGTGATTAAGGAGTCTGAAGAGCCTTGTTTGGCTGCACACCCGTGGCTGCTTATGCTTTTGTTCTCCACAATAAGGAGTGACATCTGTGTTGTGTTATCATTTAACTTAGCTCGTGGCTAAGGAAGACTCCTGCTCGGTTCTCCTCCTTTCTCATTCTCATATAGACAGTCACAAACAATCTGTGCCTTTTTGAATCGGTACTTTGAATCTCCAACGTCCATGACAATAAATTATGAAGACCTTTGATTAACTTGTTGCCTCCAACCATGAAACTGAGCAGGTATCTTATTAATCTATACTGCAAAGTCTCCAAAGTTAATTTATTCAAGCAGCGCTACGGTGTCTTTCTTCTCTTCCTTCGCAATGTAGGGGAAAAAAAAAAAAATGTCTCGTTGAACTCGTATCCTCCCTCCTCCCCTCCCGTCTTTCTCCGACTGTGTTGATTTGTTATGGTATAGCTGTCTAGGAAACAAGCGGATGGCAGGTCCCGGGCCTGCAGCGAAGGGTTCAAGCTGTGTATGCACAGACTCTCCACTGTAACAGAGCCAGCATTATGCCAAACCACTCCAGGGAAAGGGATCGAAAATCTGGGAGCTTTCAGGGTTTAGACCCAGGCCGAGGGGAAAGAGGGTGTGTGAAAACAGAAACAGAAAGAAGAGGAAATGTTTTCCATTCTGTCCCCCCTCCCCACCACCAACCCCCCTCCGCCCGGCACTTCGCTCTCCTCCTCCCCTTACAAACTCTCTTTGTCTTGGACCTTTTTCCTCTTTTTTCTTTCTTTCTGGAGTGAGACAGCTCCCAGGAAATGTACAGTGAATCCATCTGGAATTTGAATGAATTAAGGAAGCACCCCATCGGCCCTGCAGAAGGAGGATGGCTGCCATTGTCTGGTTTCGGAGAGACCTTGTGGTGCGATCTAAAACCTGGAGCGTTTATTTACTGCAATCGCTCCCTGTTGGAACTATTGATGTCTACATATGAGACAAATAGAAGAGTACCTCTTCCTTTGTCAGATCCAGAGATTGAGCCCGCAGTATTAATCTTACTCGCCACGAGCCTGATGTGTGATCCAGGCTTTACTTTCTGGATTTCACCACTTGTGTAAAAGTAAGCTGTTGAGGTCGGGACACTGACTTTAGTAACTCACAAGTTATAAGGTCATCCTTCGGTCACTTGAGGAATCTTCTCACAGCTGTAAGACTGACCTGCTCAACCTAACGCTCTCATTGCATTTCCTTCATCTGGCCTCTCAGTGTGGTCCACGCGTCTCTCTCTGCCTCTCCAAACAGTTTAGACATACGTGGCGGTTTTCATGTATTTTGTGAGAGTTTTTCAATAGTAGCATTTTTTCAGTGGTTTTACTGCCTCGGTTATAACTGTCAGAGAGGAATGTTGACGTGTCAGTGCGACTGTTCTTGCCCTGGGATCCGTCTGTTTCTGTACACTCCTCGTGTGGGTGTACGTCTACTCACATTCAAACGATGCTTGACTGTAAGCTTTGCTCAGTTCGGTCTCTTTATTGTCTGTGGTGGTGATAGGCATCATTTACATTTTATGGACTAAGTGAACTAATTAGGGACAAATCATCAGATTAACAAATACTTAAAACAGTTGTTGGTTGCAGTCCTAATTGCCCATATATATACGTTCTTTAATTTGCTGCAATATAAAAGTTCCACGTGTTCATGCTGTCCTCATTACATTTACAAACATCCCCCAAAACATTTATCCCCTTGCTAGAGCGCCGCAACGGCTCCTTAACCCAATAATGATGCCGATGTTGAGCTCCAGGCGTCTCCGCTGCACTATGAGACCACCACCAGGTGCACTCACTGCAATGGCCCCCGGTTTGGGTGTCCTCATCTGTCATTATGAGAGAATGTCACATATATTCAAGTATACATTATTATTCTCCTGTCATGTCTGCTTTTTTTTGGGAGACTTTTAGACTTTTTTTTCCCGCGATGACTGGGATTAGTGCGAAAGTTGTTTTTCTTACAGTGGGACCTTCTCCACGTGTCTTACAGCTGTACTTTTGTATTTCAGGCCTCCAGATCGTCGACGTAGAGACGTGTTCGGCTCGGCTAACGACACGCTGCTCCATCACGGTGTCGGCAGGGGAAACTCCACCATTGGTCCAGAGGATAACAGTACCGATGGTATTCCTCCAATCAGGGAGTTCCCCTTCTCAGAGGACAAGAGCACAGCCGAATATTTAGAGATCCTCAACTTGCGACCTTTCACTGTCTACCGCATCGATATCCATGCATGTAACGAAGAGGTCGGGCGCTGCAGCGCTGGAGCCTTTGTCTTCTCCCGGACCAAACCGGCAGGTAAATAAGGGTCCTGGATACAATCTAGGATTGATGAAATACAGTCTGCGTTAACATCTTCTCCTACAACGCGTTGTAAACAAGTGCTCGTTGTATGTTTCCCAGGCAAAGCAGACGACATCCCCGGAAAAGTGACCAATGGGAGAAGTGACAAGGTTGAAGGTTGTGTGGTTCTGCACTGGCCGGAGCCCTTCATGCCCAACGGTCTCATCCTGATGTACGAGATCAAGTTTCGTCTGGAGACAGAGGTAAGACAGTCTGGGTATAACCAAAGACCCCCTCGTGTTTAACGCTATATCAAAATGCAACAATGCCCAGCGCACACACTTAAAGGTACTTTCCACCTCCAGCAGCACTGCGCATACATCATTCGGCACCAGTGGCGCTGAAGTTTAACAAGACTTTTAAGATTACGGATGTGCAAGTTCCCATTGGGGTTTAAAATCCTTTATTCAAAACGAATGCACAACACTTGACCTCACCTCACATTTCTTTTTCCCTTTCAGCCTGAGAAACACGAGTGCGTGTCACGGCAGCAGTACCGCCTGTACCAAGGAGCCCGGCTGACCAACCTGGGCTCGGGGAATTACTCTGCTCGCGTGCGTGCCACTTCACTTGCAGGGAACGGCTCCTGGACAGACAGAGTGTTCTTCTACGTGCCTCCACCCAAACGTAAAAACCCCCCAAAAAAACAACAACATTTCTTGCACATTAAGTACTGTTAATTGGAAAAATGATGGTAAATGAGAAATGACAGCTTTAGTTAGTGCTGATTGTTTTTATTTTTCTGTTCTGTCTGGCAGGAGATGATGGTGTGGCGTTCTATTTGGTCATCATAATTCCCATCATAGTGACACTTTTCATCGCCACCCTCACCACGGTTGTCTTCTTTGTGAACAAAAAGAGGCAAGTATGAATCCACTTTGCTGTGCACAGGTGCAAATTGGTGCGGCCAGCTGCCTAACTCTGCTGTCTTTGTGTTGGTAGGAATAGCGACAGACTGGGGAAGGGAGTCCTTTATGCGTCTGTCAACCCTGAGTACTTCAGTGCTGCTGAAAGTAAGGGGAAAGTGCTATATCTTGTCAAAGTTTCCTCTGGTTTGCCGCGCGTGCGCGCGTGTTGTTGACCCGCTGTCCGCTATGTCGTTCCAGTGTACGTCCCAGATGAGTGGGAGGTGGCCAGAGAGAAGATCACGATGCACAAGGAGCTGGGCCAGGGCTCCTTTGGCATGGTGTACGAAGGACTCGCCAAGGGAGTGGTCAAGGACGAACAGGAGACGCGAGTGGCCATCAAGACGGTCAATGAGTCGGCCAGCATGAGGGAGCGCATTGAGTTTTTGAACGAAGCCTCTGTGATGAAGGAGTTCAACTGTCACCATGTGGTAAGAGAGCGTCTACAGCCTGAACTGAGTGAGAAAAGCGTCAAATGAACAGATAGATTGTTGCGATATGGCTCGAAATAAAGCAACACGCTGATTTGCTGAACCCAATCGCAACAAAATGCTATTTAATATCATTTCATAGTTCATTTTCATAGCTGCAGGGATAAAGGTGTCGCAAGGTCTCAAGCACTGAGTCCGCTGTGCTTTACTTTAGTCATGCAGCTACAGCCTGAGGCACAGTTTAGCCTCCTGGATTATGGGTACATTCTCTGATGAGCGCTATGCCTGCCGCAATATGGGTGTTTATTGAGTTTCTGAGGTAATCCGAGGAAGCTCTATAATCATCTTTTACGGTTGCATTGCGGTAGAATTCAGTCTATCAACAACACATTTAAAAAAAAACGAGGTTTCTTTTTTGTGATCGCTGACTGTTTTGCACACTCGGACTCTATATATTCAGAACTTAGATTTAATGTAGAATGGATTTAGCGCTTTTGACGTCTCACGCCTGACCTGGGACGTCCTTTGATTGGCGAAGGTGCGGCTGCTGGGCGTGGTCTCTCAGGGACAGCCGACCCTGGTGATTATGGAGCTGATGACGCGAGGAGATCTCAAGAGCCACCTGCGCTCTCTGCGCAAAGAAGTAAGCAGCATTTTCTCACACACCCGCATGAACACACACATTTCACCTCTATGCTAGAGCTCTTACATAAATAGGTTGACGGTGTGTGAATTGTCACACGGAGCCAAACACACACATTCTGCCCACATTTATTTTCACGGGCCTCGCTCTTCACATAGCATCCATACCTCACTTTATAATGCCCGGCTGTAGCCACTGTCCACCGGTGAGGCTGACTGTACCGTGTTTTTTCATTATCCCCAGAACGCCACCAGCCAGGTCCTACCCCCGCTCAAAAAGATGATCCAGATGGCAGGGGAAATTGCCGACGGCATGTCGTACCTAAATGCCAACAAATTTGTCCACAGAGACCTGGCTGCCAGAAACTGCATGGTAGCTGAGGACTTCACTGTGAAGATCGGAGGTAAGTCAAGTTAATGGTATGCCTACAGCTTCCCCGGGTTGCTCAACGCTGAACTGGACTCGAAAAATAACTGCTTGGGTTTCAGTGAGCGCCTGAGGCAGAGTACTTTAATGTAGATGGACAGAGGGAGGGAGAAGGTGAGGGAATGGATGAGCTCTCGGGAGCTGCCTCTCTCACACAGAATAAGTGATACTTAAAGGCTTTCCCAACCTCTGTTTTTTCTCTCTTCTTTCAGATTTTGGCATGACCAGAGATATTTATGAGACGGATTACTACAGAAAAGGAGGAAAGGGCCTGCTGCCAGTCCGCTGGATGTCTCCAGAGTCGCTGAAAGATGGCGTGTTCACTACAATGTCTGACGTTTGGTATGTGGACACATCACTCTCTCACACCCACTCAGAAACCTGGGTTATGCATGTACAAACCTGTCCTAATTTAGGGGCCTATTCCAGTAATGTTTTCAAATTACTATGTGGAATCACTAAAATATGTCATGCTACGGTGTCAAAACTGTAAAAACATGTGTACACACACACACATTACTTGGGTTTGAACATGCATTTCTGATTTAGCAAACATTTTTGGTTTTCCGCCATCTCCTGGGTAGCGTAGAACAAGAATCATTTGTTTTCTTTTAAGTGACACCTTTTTTTTTATGCCAGCTTGCACCAAAATCGCAGTTTACAGTCCTGCCACATTTTCTATGAGGAACAATATTGTTGTACAAAAATACAAGTGTTTACTAGCTCCCTTTTTTTGTTTCCCAACTCGAATTGTCCCACGGGTCAGTCCTTAAGAGTGGGCTTAAACTGCTCCAGATGTTCTCAAATGATAGGCTGCAGTGCCAGCACAAACCCACCTCCACATTTGCGATCTTCTTCCTTGATGTTGTGCAGTGGAAGTTTAGTGTAACACACCAACCTATTATGGGCTCCTTAGGAATCCACGAGTAGGGGACTTTTATTTTGTTGATTGAGAAAAACTCTCCAAATGTGGCTTTGTCTGTAAGCAGCGAGACGCTTCTCGTATGCAGCGTTGTAATGACAGACTGTTGAACGTAAACTGAATTTAATGCAAGTTGTGAAACTATGAAAAGCAGGAGTGGAAAAAAAAGTATTGTTCCTTTTTCTCAATTAAGCAAAGAACTTTTTTCATGAATAGTTTCACAGTGAAATTCTTTGCACTGAGTCCAGCAATAATAGCACAAGAGGGATTGCCCCGCTGATGCACAGCTTATATTACCCTCAATGCTGAAGGTCTGTCAGGTTTTAGGTTTAACATGACGGTGACAGCATAAGAAGATGTCTGCTGTGTGCTGCTTTTCTCAAATTGTTCTCCAAAATCCTCCGCTCAGTAAATGTGTTCACGTTGCTCTGACAATTTTTTTTCTTTTTTTTTTTTCTTGGCCACTTATGGGGTCTTGATAATGTTTTGGTCCTCAGACCTTTAATTGAATGAATAATCTGATGAAAGTCTGATTGGCCGAAAAAACATTATTTGATAAAGTGACTACAGGGTGCAGGATCTCTGTCTTTATTGCAAGGAGTCACTCTGACTTATTTCTCTGTAAAAAAAAAAAGAAGAATTCCTTCTAATAGAAACCGAAGCAAAGAAAGGGGAACAAACTGTTTGTAACACAACAGCCTCTAACATTTTGAGCTGTTGCACTCAAGGCAAGCGGCTCCTCGTTGACGTCCGAGAAGAGGCAGAATTCCTGAATTGATTTTAGATAATTCTTTTATTTCCTGCCGCAGGTCGTTTGGTGTCGTGCTGTGGGAGATCGCCACCTTGTCAGAACAGCCTTACCAGGGCATGTCCAATGAACAAGTTCTGCGCTTCGTCATGGAGGGGGGCCTCTTGGACAAACCTGACAACTGCCCTGACATGCTGTAAGTCTCCTTGTTTCTGTGATCAGCGGCGGTGTGTGGTTTACATTCCATCGCCCCCGAAGGGCTTCGCACGGCCTCCTGTCACATTCATATTTTGTCCAGTATTTATTTTAAGTTGCGGTTCGAAGCGTGTAAGATATCATGTGCTGCGCATGCTTCGTCGGAGCCAAGATGAGGCCTGACATTAACGTCACAGGTTAAATGCGGTCTGTCAGTGACGTGGAACCTGGCGGTGGGCAGCTGGCAGCGAGAAGCCTCCGTCAGCCCCGTCAGCCCCGGGCCCCTAGAAGGGGACGACGAGCGGCGCGATTCGCGAGATGACGTCCGTCCGTCCGTCAGTAAAACGCGGTGGGAAAGACGGGGAAAGAATCCCTCGTGAATCGTCTTGGCTTGTAAGAGGAGAGAGAGAGAGAGAGAGAGAGAGAGACATAAACGGCACAAGCTGCTTGTCGGCATGCAGCGTTTCTCTCCTCTCCCACTCTGACCTCAATGAGAAGGCATTCTGCCTCCTCCCCTCCCGCCATCCACGGCTGACCTCACCTTAGGAAGAGGGCCGAATGTTGCGGCAACACAAAGCTCTCATTTCTATGCCAGCCTGACTATTTTGACCCGATTACAGGAGTGTGTGGGTTGTGTTACAAAGGTGGTGGTGGTAACGTGGGCTAACCTCCCCCGGTCTGTAGGTTTTCAGGCCTTTTTTTGCTGCTGGTTGCCTTCAATGCGGCGTCTTAATTGAGAGCTCCGCAAGAGTGTAGTGCAGTGAAGCCCAAAGTCTTTACAAAGTGAATATAAAGACGCGATGAGTCGTTCTTGGAGGGCCCTGAATGTCGCCTCCTCGTACAATCTCTCCCGTGCTCAGGTACCTGTGGGCCACCGATTGTACTCTGTTACTTGTTTGGTTTCCTGTGGACAAACGGCCGTTCTCTCTTGCAGGGTTGGGTCCAAAGGAAATTTAGACTCTGTGGTTATATTAAACAACAGATTTCTTTTGAAAGGTTATTATTACTGTTATTTACCATTAATAAATGATTAAACATTTACCATAGATGTTATGAAAGTGTTCTGTACTCCACTTGGCCTGGACGTGTGTCTGTTTCTGATTCTATGTGAGTGTGTCCAGATTTCTTTTTGTTATGCTGGTGAAATTTCTTCTGTGTCTAGACTGTGCGCAGACTGTGTTCTTTTGTAAAAGCCAGACTGTGGCCAAATTTAATTTTGAAAGCACATTTTTGTCACTATCTCGCCAGACATGTGATTGTTTATAACAGGCAGTTATTGGTAAAGTTCAGACACACATACGTAAGCTGTATTACCCCAGAGTGGCCGAGCGTTACGTGTCTTTTCGTGGGAGGTCTGTGTTTGGACACCCTAACGTCGGCATTGGGACACTTGCTGCATTTCTAAAGAAAAAACAAAACAAAAAACAAGCCACCCCCTGCTGTCTGAGTAGGAGGCGAGGCGCGCGCTCGCAGGGCGGGTGCTTAGTTCTACCCATAATTCCCCTGTGCAGAGACTGTTGTAGACTGCAAAGAGACTACAGCGAGAGAAAGAAAACAAGAGAGAGGGAACAGAAAGAGCGCAGCTGAGATGTCTGAGGTGTTTGTCAGCCGGCCTCGGCGAGTATTCTTAGCTTGTTTGTGTATAATTGAAGTTGTGGCGTGTGGTGCAGCACCGCACATGACTGTAATAATTCTCTCTTTTTATGAAGTTGTTTTGACATTCCCAAAGCTCGGCTGCTGGCCTGGCAGAGGAACCTGCCAGCCGTTACTGATGCCACTATGCATGTTGTAGACATAAAACACACCCACATTTTTAATACCTCATTTGAAATGGTGTGTTCACTAAAACCACATCTCAGCAACAAACCTGTATGAAATTGAGTAGTACAGTGTATTTGTCCAGTTTACAGTACAATGCCTTGTAATGTCAACAAAGCTCAACATAGTGAACTGAGCTTTAACTTCAGTGTCTCCTGCCACCTGCTGGTGCGAAATAAAACGTTTCATAGGGTAGTTCCATGTTTATTCCAAGTCTGTGTTAATGCAACGCTGGCCATTTGCAAGAGTTGCTGTAAACTTCCCTCTAATCCTTCTGGCTGTGAAGTTTAGGCTAAAATGACAAAGCAGTCAAAGTGAGTTAAACGTTGGTGTCTTTCAAAATGTTGGTCTTTTTAGAAGGAAGTCATCTCGACGTTCATAGTGGAAATGTATTATATCAGATTTTAAAAAAGTGAACCTTTTCTTTGAATGATAAAACGCTCTACTCTGCATGTATTTATCTTCTGCGCATCCCCTGCAGGTTTGAGCTGATGAGGATGTGCTGGCAGTACAATCCCAAGATGCGGCCGTCCTTCCTGGAGATCATCAGCAGCATCAAAGAGGATCTGGACCCTCCCTTCAGGGAAATGAGCTTCTTCTTCAGCGAGGAGAACAAGCCGCCCGACACCGAGGAGCTGGACATGGAGGTAGAAAACATGGAGAACATTCCACTGGACCCCGCGCCCACCAGGCAGCCCCCTACTACTGCTGCCACCGCACCTTCGTCGGGATGCGTGGTCGGAGGCACGCCGCCCCCCGCCGCCCAGCAGTTATCCCCCATGCAAGGCCCGGGCACTCCCTTATTGGGACCCATGTCCCCCGCCTCCCCTGGCCGGGTGGCCTCGGCGTCGCCGGGCCAGGCCTCGGACAAGCCCTCGGGACACGTTTCGGCCAACGGGCCGGCGGTGGTGCTACGGCCCAACTTTGACGAGTTGCAGCCGTACGCGCACATGAACGGGGGCAGAAAGAACGAGCGTGCGTTGCCGCTGCCCCAGTCGTCGGCCTGCTGATGTCAGACCAGCCCCTCGTCCTCCTTTTCTCCTCTCGCACAGGGTAACTCAAACGCCTCCTCCGTCTCTTAAGGAGGTCGGTGTGAAAGGTGAGAAACGACTCTCTTCTGCTGGCTTCCAGTAGATGGTCTCTCCAGTCCTTGAAGCGCTAGAGTCTGAGGAACAGTAGAGAGACCTGCTAAAGCATTTAGGAGTTTGGTGGCTGGGACTCAACACGGAGGAGCTCCTTCCTGTGCCGCCTGTGTCGTTGTTATATAAGTCCGTTGAGAAGGAAAACATTACAGGCATGTTCCCTGACATACACATTTAGACAGGAAATTATGGTCATTTTTTTAGCTTATCTGCCAGCAAATCCAACAGAAGAGCACTTTTTTTCTGGGTGTGTCTTTGTACAGAACACGTGATTCTAATATGGCTCCATTACTAAAAGACTTTCATTCAAAATGACTTTTTAATTGCATGAGCGGGCCGGCTCGTGTCTCGCGAGAAGGCCTCCATCAGAAAGTTTGGACTAAGAGGGTATCTGCCAAACAATTGCCAAATTAAGGTTCTTCTTCAGTTTCAAACAGGTCTCCCTCCTTTTCGGCTGTGGCTCAGAGTTGAGACGTCTGGTAGACTGCAGGATTCATGCTGGTGAGGGTCGTGGGGTGGGACGGTGTCACTGTTAGGGAAGCCTGCATTCAAGTTCGCAGTTCAAAGGTTTTTGCAGCATCTGCTTCTGGGTTTGGAATAAATCTAGCAAGACATGAGAGACTTGGAGGAGAAACGGGACACTCGAGTGATTTGTGTGAAAAGGGGAAAACGCAAAAGCACGGCTGTTTGATTTAGAATTTTGAAATGTAACCAGTGGCCTTGTTTTAATCAAAGTTTATGCTTTTTTAAAATCTATTGAAGCAATATTGGTTAACAGGAAATTCATTAAAAAGAACGGCAATGTCCATTTTATTTCAAACCATTAGTAAATTTACAAGTAATCTGCAATTCATTTGGTAATCAATTAAAGGCCTTCTTTTTTTTTTTTAGCAAAAACATGGCCAGACTTGGTTCTTCAGCTCCTAGCGTGCAGTGATTTGCTGCTTTCTTTTTTTTTTTGGTAAACAGGATTTTCCACTTTATCACTTGAACATCTGGGTGAAGCACATGCGTGACTTGCGTCGGCCAACTCTGAATCACAGTCTCAGTCTGTCCTTGTTTTGGTGAAGAAAATCTAAACAAAGTACCACACGTTTCACAAAGTCACTGGACTTCCTAATCAAGGAATATGAATGTGCCTCCACATAGAGACAAAGCTTTTTGACCTCTTTAAAACAGTGCATTTATTTTGGGAGGTGGAACATTTTACTCTCTGACACTGCTGTTCCAATGAAATGGCACCAAATATTCCGTGACGAACAGAAACATGAGAAATTGATTTTAGTAGCCGAGAGACGACTTTTCAACAGGTCTCCTTTAGAATAGTCATTAGTTTCTCTATATTTCAAACACATATAAAGGTCTTACAGTTGTATTTTAGACTGCAGGATAATTTTTATACACATTATTGGTTTTGTCACTTTTTTAAACTTTTTACAGTTCAAAATGTTTGCCTCTATGTCTGTAGAGAACAAAGCTGCTATTTTATTCTTTTTCTCTTTTGGATGTGCATATATGCATATATATATATATATATATATATATATATATATATATATATATATATACACACATACAGAAATCCTTCAGGTTTGGTATTTCATGGTCTCCACTATAGTCCATTTCTTATATCTTCAATCTGTTTAAAAAAACAAAAAGCAACAAAAAACATAATTTTCTGTTACCCCAAATGTTTTTCTGTAACACTATTTTGTTCATTGCCTTTTATTTTTATGAAATATTTTCTCCTGCATTTGTTTGTTGTCTATATTATTATTATTATTATTATTATTATTATAATTATTTGGAATGGACACCTTAGCTCGATGTGTGAGTGTGTACTTTCTGCACCCTTTGTGTACTAGCACTGCGCCTAGCGTTGCCCTACGTGCGACTCAATCTCAGGTTAAAGTAAAGGCTTTGCTTTTTCCACACATTCTCATGATCGTCCTCTACTTGGCTCAACGTAACCCCCCCAACCCCTTCATGTTGTGTTGAGTCCAGTAGTGTCCCCCCCTCTCTCTTTTTTCCCTCTATGCCTCCTTTTTAAGTCAATGCGAGATGAATTTACACCTGATCTGGTATTTGAACCCATCCATTTCTTGCCTCCCCTCGAATCAATAATTGGGTTGTCTTTTAAGCCATAATTATGCCAACCATCCCTCAAAATATATATTTCTTCTCCCTATTTTGTATTACTTCAGGCTCAATATAAGACCACATCTGCTAATGTTACTTCATCGCAATGGATCTTATTGTTTGTCTTTGTGATCACTGCTTCTGAAAACCAAATAACGGATGGGTTAAAGGCAGATGAAGTCCAGGAAAGGGAAGACATTTCACTTTCGTGAATGGAAAAGGGTCTTAAATGGAGGCTGAATGAAGGATTTCTCCTTGTCTATTTGGAAATGTTGCCTTGTTATTTCCCCCCCCTCTATTTGAAGTTTTTATTTTCTCTGTAGGAGTGTTATTTATTGATTTTTTTCTATTTTATTTTCCCTCTTGTGATATCAGTTTAAATCACTGTATAAATGCCCCATGATTCAGTATAAAGTTTTTTTTTGTATTTTTGTATGTATTTTCTTTGGTGTCATGACTGGGGGACTTACAGTTTTATTTTCTTTTTTCCTTCAAGTACATATCTACCTCACTCTTTTTAAATCAACGTGTTTGTGCATCTCACTTCCATCAATATGTATAGAAACCTCATCTGGATGAATCCCACGGGGATCTAGATAAACCTCACAAAGTCAACCTGGAAAAGAGATGGAATATCTTTTGTTGCGATTTCAGTCCACCGACTTCATGCCCAGTTTGCAAAAAAAAAAGTTTCTGTCTCTGACAAGACATAAGAGAGGACTTCAGTGCGTTTTAGTTCTCTGCAGAATGAATTGGTGTTGGGTATTTTACGTGACTATGTCAACATACACTTTCATTTGACCGGATACATTTTTTAAAAAATGGCGCAGGTACAGTTTAAGAGACCAGGGCTCAACATCAACAGCAAATATTCCGTCTCGACTGATTACCAACATAATTCCACAACCTTAAAATCCTCAAAAGACAGAAACCTACATTTAAAACAAATTAAAAATGTATTTATATAGAAGCCCCAACAGTTATAATGGGGGAATATTTAAAAAGGGAATGTTTGATTGACCTCCAGGAAAAACAATATATTGGCTAAAAAGACCCTCACATCCAGATGCCATTCACACAAATATCAGTAAGTATATGGATGAGTTATGTGATGTAACAAGCAGCAGACAGGTAGCATTTCCACCTACATGTTACTATTGTAGAAATACACCATTTCAATAATTATTTAGTCATTGTTGGATTACACCCTTCTTAACATGTAAACACTTTCTTCAGCATCACATCCCCTGTCTAATTATTATCTGAATACCATAAGATGAGAACTGTAGACATCCTTCCCTGGCATTTCCATCATTACAATGCCTATTTCTACTCCTACCTACACGAATGCTGCTGGTTAAAACGATCACCTCAGTGGAGATTATATTGTTGTCAAAACTGTTGAGTGGGAAAATGGCTAAAGAAGCGTTTATATATTTAACTTCCATTAGAAACGTCATTTCTACTCACGGCGGCTACTTGGAGAGGACTGTCTCGGTGCGAGGCTTCTGGGCTGGAGGCGAAGGATCTTGAAATGATTACCCACAAGCAAAAGACAAAAAAAGAATGGATTATTGATAACATAATGTCAAATGTATATCCTGAATTAAGGTTGTTCTCAAGCCTTCTATCCGTGTAAGATTTTAAGCGAATCAAAGAGTAAAGTATTTTTGGTTGGGGAAACCGTTTGATTACTGCTAAAATCGCCACAGAGCAGCCAACGGCTCGTGTGGTCCCTTTACATATCTGTGCATATATGCATTTCCATTTGTATGTAAGCAATGATGAAATCCAAAACTTTCAGTTCGTATGAGTAGACATCACATCGACCTTTTGTGAGGTGAATTACTGGTTACCATTGAGTCAGAAACCTGTCACTTAAATAACGGGTGTTCTGCGTAGATTATGGGTAGTCATGGTTAACAGTACAACAACATGATTAGAGAAAGATGATAGGTCTAGGTTTACAGCATCACATAGTTGCTTTTTGCATTGCCAGATTTCAGTGTAAAGACACAGTAACTAACTTAAAACACATTCAACTTTAGTCATCTTTATCATTTTTATTCTTCTGAATGCAGAGCTCAGGTTTATGCATTCACACTGCAATAATAAGTTTGAGGTTTATCATTATCATGCCTCTGTTTTTAGGAGTTGCATTCCTATACCTTTTGAGGGGGCCTTGATTTACTGCTAGTATTTTATTACAATTTCACAAAATCTGTGTTCATTACCTGATTGGGGAAAGAAATGATTAAAAAAAGCTTCTCTAGACTTTTTTCAAGCTCTCTAAGGCCTCAAAGGTTCTTTCGCACCTATAACTGAGATGGCATGTTTTGACACGCCATCTCCAAATGTGTATCTGAGATTTTCTTGTATTTTCTTTTTTTTCTGAGATTTTGAATAAATAAATGAATAAAAAATGTTTTACTGTTCGCTCAATTTAATCTTTCCCGATCATCGGTGATCATGTACCTCCAGCATGGGGCGAATGAGCAGAGGTGCCAGTCAAGACGAGCGTTATCTCATATTGCTGAGTGTCAATCATCACTGGAGCAGATGCCTACCTGCTCATCTTTTCACGTGTTTGTTTCAAAAAGACCACTGGAACCTCTAGCTGCGCCCAGATGTACAACAAACTGGGACCGCAGAAAACACAGAGGGTAATGTAAGACTATCCCGCTTATTACATAATCCGTGTGTAATTATACGTTTCGACAGGTAGTGTCTTCAACGCAGCGCAGCTTTGGCTACCGTTCATGACGCTGAGGTCATGACGTCTGTGTTTCTTCCTGCAAACTTGGGGATATTACTAACTGTTTAAAAATATTATATATTATAATAGTATTGTGTATGGTTTGAGTTCATTATTTTTTTCCTCCCCAAGGAGGATCTGTAATTTGTTATGTTTTTGTGTGTGCACCCCCCCCGTGTCTGTCCAAAACAAATCCTGCGTTTTGCATATTACTTCATATCCCTTGTGGCCTGTTAGCGCTGCACGCTCAAAGACCTTGTGGTTACAGTGACTCACACTTTCTCAAAACACATTTCATCGACTGTCGTATACCGCCCCCGCCCACGGGCTGCAGAGGCCGCCAACCGCCATTACACTCAAATCAAAAGAAGAAGAAGAGGACACAACATGATAACAGAGCTGAGCCCCACAGTCCCAATAATAATCTCCACCCTTGTGGGTCTGGTGCCCCCGCTGACCCTGTGCGGGTTTAAGGGTATCCCACTGGGAAATCGTTGAGGGCTCTCTGGTAGACATTTTGAGCCATTTACGAACTCTCTCCGTCAGTCAGCTGTAGATGCCCTCGGCCATTTCAATGTGACGTTAAAAACGGGACAGCCAGCGAAAGCATGGAGAAAAAAATGTTACCCAAGAGGACTGTACAGGTTTCAGCCTGTCATGTTAAATTCGCAAGTAAACAGTATACAGATTAAGGATAGGATAGGATAGAATAACAAAAAGCCCCTCGTGAAATCAGATGATATTTGCACATTTGTTTATTAAATATTGCATTTTTTCATTAAGTGGTTTTCCTAAAAAACTGTAAAAACATTATTTACAATGACCTCTCATCTTATGAGGAAAGATCCCGGAAGGTGTTCAGATCAGAGAGTGAAAGGTATGGAATAAATGCCCTCAATCGTACATCATATTTGTTTACGTTGTCGCGGTGACGTGCGTTTTTGCGCCATTTTCAAGCCCTCACAGACTCACTTACCAAATTAAGGCAATTAAGCCCTTGAGGGATTTGGGTTTAGAGGCGGACTTTGGGGAGATTGAGACTATTTCTTTGAATCAAAAGGCCCTGGTCTTGTCATGATTGGTTATAAATTTACCTATGGGTGAAGCGTCAGCTAAATCTCTGCAATGATGTTCTGGGTCTTAACATAATGGCATCTCCTTCATGGGAGGCATCAGTCTGCTTTAACAATCCGACCAACTTCAAGCCCTTCCATGAAAAATGTGTATACATTTTTCTCAAGGCACATTTGATAATGACCAGTGGGCTAGGTATTTTGTTTTTACAAGCATTACCTGGGCTGCTTTCCAGTTGGGGTTCACTGTCGAAAAGGTCCGAAGCCTACTTATTTTAGCTCCCGCAGTTCTGTTTTCTTCCACCGGGAGGAGCTGTTTCCCGTCATATAGTGGATCACTTACCTTATTACAAGTGATATATTTAGGTATGTTAAAGTCTAAAATAACATAATCTAATTAGCCTGCTCATAAGACTGAAGGCTTGTTTTTACACCGTTTAAAGATATGATATTTGCCATTGTATCTTTTTGTATTCTTTCTAGCCAAATAAATTATTTAGCTAGAATGAATGCTACATAAAACAAAATGCAGAGACAAAACATGAATAAAGTAGACTCAAATACATTTAAAAAAAACATTAAATTAGTAAACATCAACCATTGCCTACAAGAAGATCGTTTGCAACAATGTTCTTTTTCCATTTCCTCGTCTCTTCTTTTCAGTTTACTACTTAACATTTCTTTAGCATCTACTTAACAGTTGTTTCCACCAAATCCTTAATTAGGCTGTTGCGTTGAGATTAGAGGATTCATATTTCAGACAGCCCCTAAACGCAACACAACATCTGAAGCGGACGCGCTTCGGGGCGATCCTGTGAGGCAGGACACGCCCTTCTCCTCCTCCTCCTCCTCCTCCTCCTCCTCCTCCTCCTCCTCCACCTCCTGCACTTGTCAAAGGGCACCGATCGCAAACGGCGTTGTCGAGCCCACGGACGCGCACGCGCCAATGACACCGGGACATCCCGTCTGCTCGCAGTATTTTAACTCACTCACTTTTTTGTCTAATTAGATGCCACAATGTTGCCTTTCAAACGAACTTTCGACAGCGAGAAACAGCAGCTGCAGAAGCTCAACAGCAGACTCGTCCAGTATCTCTCCAGAACGAAGCAGCTGGAGCAGGAAAATGCGTTTCTCATCACTGAAATGAATCGACTCAGACGGAGGAAGACGGCGGAATGGGAGCCGAAGCAAAAGAGCGAGACCAGGGAGCTGAGGAGAATGGTGGAGCTGCTGTCGTTTGAGAAGTCCCAGGCCGAGATGGAGAGGGAGAAGCTATGGCGCGAGTTGCAGATGGTCCGGTCTCTGTGCAGCGAGCAGACCGGGGTGTGCAGGGACATCGGCGGCGAGGTGAAGGCCTACGAGAAAGAGCTCCAGCACGCGCACAAAGCCAACGGGGAACTGCAGCAGCGTTTGTTTCAACTGGAGAACGAGTACAAGCGCCTGGAGGATGTGCACAGGCAAGAAAAGGATCATCTGCGGCGGCAGGTGGATTCCCGGGTGGTGCCCATCATTACGCAAACTTATCGCGGGCCTCCGGCGGCGTCCGTGGAGGAGGTGCAAGAGTACGCGCGCACTCTCTCCGACGGATGGATCGAGACCTTTGACATGTACCAGCTGAAGGTGGAAGAAATGGAGGAGTCGATAAAAGCGGACCAGGCGAGGCTGGGTGACCTGCAGAGGGAGAAGATGCAGTATGCAGCAGAGGTGGACAAATTGCGCACAGAGGCGGAAAAGCGAAGTCAGATCCAATTCCACCTCGAAGAACAACTGATGCACATGCAGGAGAAATTCCGCATGGACTTCGGTGAATATCAGGTGAGGAAAAGTAAATTACTGGCTGATAAGAGTAAAACAGCTGGGATTTGTCTTTGCAGAGGAACTGACGTGAAGCCAGCGATTATAATATTTATGTGTATTTAAAGGCAGCCCAACATACACACAATAAATCTGATACAATTTTTCAAAATACACATGCAGAATCTTCCCTCTTTGCACTGAGCCATGAAGAAGGGGAGGACACGCCCTCTTGTCCCAGCCACGCCCACTTCTCTCATAGGCAGTGATGCAGTTGCAGCTGGCAGAGCTGATAGACAATAGTCACAATCAAGAAAATTATAACTGTAATTATGCAAAGGCAGTAGATGTTGGCTCCGAAATTAAGGCAAACAACCCCACCTCAATACATGAGGACATGACCGACACAAGATGCTCGACGAAGTTTTGCGTGCAACATTTGACCTCCGCATAAAAGGATTGAGTAGCTTGATCAGCTAAACAACGTTCTACCTTCCCGGAACTCTAGCAGTTAGATTACAGCAGCCACTTAAACCAATTAGCAGTCAGACCGACAAATCCGCATTAGCCTCCTAAAGATGGAGCCCCTTAGTAGGTCAGTCAGCGGATGGGACGTCTTTAATATCGGAACTAAAAACCCATTCTGCTAAGTATACCACATTTTATTGAAAAAGGCTCATGCACAGAGTACAGAAGCAGTAACTGGATTAAGTTGTTAAGTGGTCCAAAGGATGAGTGCAGTCTGTTAGAGGGATCAGACTTGGTTTGGACTAGAAGTGGTCAGCCAGTTTCCTGCATTAAACACAAGTACGATTTGGGGACATACAACAGAGAAATCAATGATTTACAACGTTAATGTTGGTTTATAATCAAGGAAGTTATTACAGTATTTTCAATTAAATTGCAGAGAAAATAAATCATATATACCCAAATGGATTCTTTTTCTTCTCTCCAGGTGATTATTGAGCAGCTGGAGCACGAGAGGAACACGATGGCGGACGCTATTGCAGAAAAGATGCGAGAACATCAACACCTTCTCCGGGTCAAGATGGATCTCGGCATGGAGGTGGCTGCCTACAGGTGATGAGCGCATTTATTTCGCCAGCTGTCTAATCAAAACAAATTGTCTTCATATTATCACTTTCAATAAAAAATTAAAAAAAGAACTTTCACAGTGGACGGTCTGACTTGTCATAGTACAAAAAGAACAAGTGTTACTAATAATATCAACAATTGCTGCATCCATTCAAGTGTCCGAGTATGTACGTGGCGTAAGTATAATGTAGCAAACATAAGAACTCACAGGGCGGATAGCAGTGGGAGTGGGTGGATCAAACCAACTGGAAGTCTTTTTCCATACTTATGTTACCTTGTTTAGACATTTACATTTTACTTTCCAAGCCTAATTCAGGGTATTTTTTTACATTTTTTTATTACCAACATTGAGAATGTACTCCAAGAGGTCTGACAAGGCATTAGTATGTTAGAAATTGTAATGAAAACAAAGTACAGCAAGTACATTGTTGAATGTGGGGCTTTAAGTTAAGTTTTTTTTGTGAATGAAGAAAGTTTGCTAAAATAGGTACATTCTCTTATTTCAGTGATATTTTAATGCTGATGAGATGGGATTACTGGAAAAAACGCCCCCCTCTTCCGCACAGCGTGAAGCCACTCAATTAGTTATTTCATTAAACACAGAATAAATCTACTGCCTCCTTCCTGTTTGTTTGGCAAATCATATGATAAACTACACGTACCAGCTCACATACATCTCGTGAAAAATACCTGTACCACACAAAGTTTTAAAATTTGCTCTGATTTATTTTAAGTATTGTCGTAATTTTGTCTGCCATATCATATCCTGTAAAAGCCCTGCATGCTGTGTGTCTTATAGCCGGATCATAAAGGGCCACATACTAACACACTATTTTTACTGAAAGCTAAACCAAAAAATAAACATAATATATTTCCATGTCTAAAAATAACATTTTTTTTAAGCTATCTTTGAAACATCATAACTTCTTATCTCACACCGCATAATTTTGTTCTTGTATCCCTATTAATCCGAACAAATATTTTGGCATTTCCGACGTGGCAGCGGCGGCGGCATGTGTCTTTGCGTGTGTCACGAGTCATCTTTTACTTTAAGATGCGTAGGGAAGTGTGCGCAGCCCTGCGCTGTGACTTATTTTTAGGTCAGTCTTTGGGAAGGCGGTCTCCGGGGAGGTTGTTCCGTTCTGAGGCATGCTCGTTAGCCTTTGTATGTTTGTTGAAGTATGTCCAAGGAGAGGTGAGCCGCTGAAGCTAATTCTTTAACAGCCTACACGACAGAGGGTTGTTATGTTATGTTGTCGATGATTAGCACCTTACATGGCTAGCTGCTAGCGGCTGGGCTCATACCGTCTCGTAAGAAGCCTTTCTCGCTCAGTTTGAAGGGGTTGAGATGGCAAAGCCAAAATGACCTACTCAGCTATTTGTCTGTGTTCTTGAAATAGGAAAAAATAACGTGTCTTGTTTGTTCAGGGCTCTCCTGGAAGGTGAGAGATTGGATCTGCAAAATGCTCATGGGAGGGGGACTCAACACCAAAGAGAAAGAATAATAGGTACTGTATTTACAATCATTTCATCTCCTGCCAAGAAAGCAAATTTCCCAAAACGTCAAACTGTCCATTTAAATATCTACCTAATCATTCATTATCTGTCCCAGATATAAGGATGCCTGTTAGGCCCTACACGCCAAGAGCTTCCACCTTAACCACCAGACAACATACGGATATCAGGTGCACGCCGCTGACTTCGCACCTGAGAAGATCCCCTTTGCCTCCCTCTGGGACCATAAGTCCCTCCAGGATCATTCCTATTTCAGTTGCAGCCAGAGCTCATGAGAGTCCTGCATCCAGAAGGGACATGATCTCATTCACCAAAGCTCGGGCTGCTGCTGCCCCTTCCACCGCCAAAGATAAACAAACAGGCCAGAGTGAAGACCAAAGCAGAAAACATGTACAGAAAACCGCAGCAGAGGAGAAAACTGTGGAAATCAAGCAGGTCCCTCCGGTAGAGAACAAAGTCGGTCCCATCAAGTCACCCACTCCTGAGACCAGATCATTGGAAGTGGTGTCACCACAAATGATGAGCCTGAGCGTGAAAACTGAGACAGGAAGCCAAAGGCGAGTGACAGATGATCAGGAGAAAGATAGTGTTTGTGTTGCGTTCAAAAACGAAGGAAACGCGGAGCCTATGATGGACGCGATTGAGAAAAAGACATTTGATTCTGTGTATGTAGAGGAGATTATCGAAAAGGCGTTGAAACCAGCAGGTTTGGAGCTTTGCTCCCCAGGGCAATCACAGCTAAGTTATCACGTGGAGAAGACTGACCAAGAGGATGGAACTACTAAGATGCAGATCGTGTTGGAATCCAAAGTGGAGGAAGAGCTGGATTTTTCTGAGGACTCAGCACTGGAAGAGCTACTGAGCCATGGGGTTAAAAACGTGTCACTGGAAGACCTCAAGTACACAGCAACAGGAAGCATGATCAAGAACCTGCTAAGTGGCCTGCAGGGAAGCGAGAACTTGGAGAATAAGTCTATCAATGTGGAGATCATTGAGGAACCGGTGGAGTCCTACATGGATGAGGAGTTTCAGCTTGAGCAGAAATCCAGATCATATTTTTACGAGCCCTCCTCAACATATTTCCAAATCGAGGAGCTAGAAAACGTCCCTCATGGTTCTCAAGTTCAGAGGAGTGACGGTGATCCCATGGAAGCCTCCGTGACAGAAGCATACAATCGCAAGGGGGGATCTGTACAAGTCCAAGAGGTCACCAGAGAGAGTGAATCTTCATCTTTGTCCTATGACCAGGAGCCTAACGAGTATTTTGTCTCCACACCAGACGATAATCTTTCTGAAACCGAAGAGGGGTGCGGCATCACCTCATATGGCCATTATGGCATCGTTGATGACCTGTCAGATGAGCGATACTATCAAGATGAAGGCCTTTCCTCGAAAGGGGTGATTGTAGAGGAAAGTGACAAACACAAGTCAGGTGAGCAGTCGTTCGTAAAGGAGAGTTTCCCAGAGTGCATCATTGAAGAAGAGGTCTGCGTCTCCCCCGTAGTGCAGGAGTCGATGCTTGAGTTCCTGAGAGAGGGCACTTTGGAGCCCAAAGAGCAGCTGAAGGGAGCTCTGCAGAAGCTGCAAAGCTCCGTGTCGGGCCCGCTGAGGGAGGAGTTGGCCTTCCTCGCGAATATGAGTAGTGACGGTTCTCAGACTGTGGATGTCAAAAAAGTGCAAGAGTCGAGTAACAACGGCACCATGACCATAGTCGCCGAGCTGAATGTCTCCCAAAGTCTGGAAGACTCAGGGCTGCTGGAGGCAGGAGATGATTTCTCTGAAGACCAGATCATGGCAGCGCTTAGATCTTCTAACCAAGGGCTTGAGAAAGCCTTCCAGGGTGGGGCAGGAGGAGGAGGGTACAGCTTCAGAATCTCCACAGAGGAGGACGTTGTGCCAGGTGAAGAGTTTGAAGGGTCAGCGTCTGAAATCACTGAGAGGTACAAAGAACTGGGGCCATCGGAGAAGTCCTTCACCTTTCAGATGGACGTGCACGGCAGCCACGCTGAGCCCTCAGAGGAGGAGCTGCGATCCCACACCTTTGAAACCCCAATTAAGATCTCTCAAGAGAAAAGGGTTGCAACAGTTTACCTTGATCGCCCAACAGATGATTAAGAAAAATGTGGTCGGAAATATTTCCAAGGCCGGGTGCTTGCCAATGTTGCTCGCTGCTGCGCACATTACAGAAGTTGTTCGGACTCAGCAGCCCACACACACGCGCACACACACACGCACACACACAAGCGCGCACACACACACACGGCTATAATACTGTTTGCCGACACTAATAATGCTGTAAGCGGTACAACTTTATGCAGTGTGTATCTAATTAATTCTGGTGAACCTTTTCAGCTGAAATTACTTGCAGTGCGTCACCTAGAACGTGGTAAACGACGCAAAGTGAATTCAGTTAAAACGTCCCGATTACCTTTTTGTAGTATTAATTGTGGCAATACACATAAGGTTAGCTAGCTCAATTTAGGATTGCGTTGGAATGTGTCTAACCTTTTTACAGCTTGATGTTCATTTTACAAGAAGTTTGTTTATTCTCTCAAGATTTCTCTCTATTTTTGTACTAACCTGTGCAGCTTCAGTGGCCCATTTTACAGTTTACGACACCGTGTCACGCACATCATCACATCACGTGTAGCAAGCCTGCAGAACACGGCTGGAGTTAAGAGGTGCTGTGAACTGATTGGGGCTGATTGGGGCTTTCATTTTTCGTTTTACTTAACAAAAGCATTTACTTTTAGCGTGTCGTGAGGGCAGAAGTTTGTAGCGGAGGACTGAATAGTGGGGGTGGGAGGGAAAAGAAGGTAATTTTGTCTTAAGAAAGTTTGGTTTTAGTCTAGTGCAGTGGCACTTAAAAGTACAATGTATTCAGAGTCAGACATGTTTGAATAAATATCTTTAAAGCAACGTGATCTCCAAAACCTGTTCGTAAAAATGTATACGAAATATTTGACATAGAAATTCGTAACAATACATACTAACTGGCGGTGGTTAACCACGCCCCTTGAGTGAACGTCTCTCCGCCATGTTGGATTTTTTGAGGGGGTTAGGGTTAGTATTGTATTCTTACAATTTAACATTGATTTCTCGTTAAAAATGCAATCATAACACGTTTATTTTACATCGTTAGACTTCACGAAGTGTGTTTACGGGGTGCAGGTCCCCATTCACTTTGAATACGGTGACGTCATCAGTTGCCAGTCCGTATTTATTTAGTATGTATCACTACGAATTTGTATCTTCAAGATTTTCGTATACATTTTTACGAACAGGTTTTGGAGATCAGGCTGCTTTAAAGGGTACATGTCAATACCATCAGACAGCTAAATGGCTTATTTTAAACCTGTGAGTGGCGAACTGGGGATTGAAAATAAGGAATTATACCATTAAGCCAATAAAGGGTTTTCAATTAAAAAATACAGTAGATGAAAGAGTGAACAGCAGTAGTATAATCTAAATGAAGTTCAAGTATTCAGTGTTGTTTAAGAAAATCTAAATCGCACCTGGTTTGGATGTACAGCGTGTCTCGTCTGGAGGCCCCTCTGCTTGTTGACATTTGCTGGATTCTATATTGTTGAGTGGAAATATTCACCTTTGCTGGAGCAAACTAGTGATCGTGACCGTATTTCTGGATCATCAGCTTAGTGACATTGACTGTCCATTAGGGTTTGTTGTTTTGTGCACTAGCTGCAGGGGAAGAAAAGGTCGACTATCATCACAGTGGTTACATCTGTTGAGCCTTTAGCGCTTCAATTGTGGCAATAACAAATCTTACTTTATACGTTACGTTATATGTAGGTTATGTACACAGTGTAATCTAGATCTAAATCTAGATGACAAGCTACTCCACAGCATAAACACGTGCAGCATCCACAATATATGTATAAGGAATGTTTAATGACTCAAAGGTTCAATAAATATCGGTCACCATGGATGGAGAACACCATTTATTGTATTAACACAATGGTTTCTATTGAACACGTGGCTTTAATGATTTTGTGAAAATAAATGCAGCTTTTCTTGTGGAATTGGCAAATATCTTAAAACAACAATCAAAACACAGTGTTGGTGTCTTTTCTGAGTATGATTATTTCTTTAAAGCTGAGTTTTTTTACCCAAATTACAAAATGACACAAAGATCAGGTAAACGTACCAGTGTACATAACAAGTAGAAATAAAGATGATTTTTAACTGTGCATTATCTGACAAAAAGACAAACGATTAAAAAAATGAATGATAGGAATTACTGGTCAGAACTCGCACGATTATTGTACTGGCAAAATAAAACAAGAACATTTCAAGAGTCAGACGTTGAGTTGTCATCATTGCCACTGCAGGATTGAACTGTAAGTGTGTGACGCTTTGTTTCCCTTCTACTTTGCCTTCGTTGTCTCTCAACCACCTCCGGGATCCTACAAAACATACATGACATGGTTGCAATACTGTCTGTTCAGATCATTACTGTAAATACATTCAGTCGAGTACAGTCTAAATAGTTCAGCAGATTTACCGAGCCAGAATGTCCACCGCTTTTTGTGTGGCTTTTGTCTTCTTGTGCTGAGGACCATACAACAAACTCTGGATCTCCAGGCACTAAAATAGAAATAGAAAGAATCATGAGAGCAGAGTGAGTGGTCAGTGCAAGACGAGAGGTGCAACTCATACTCAAAGGGCATGAACACTTCCTAGCAACCTGTAAAGGCACTAAACATCTCAAAATAACCTCCGTTGCAGTCCAAGTTTTAGAGAACACCTGTGCTGACCACTCGGGAGTGTCAGGTCAACAGGGGAGATCTGCTAGATTTATCATGACTTCAACTCCAACAACCCAGAGATCTAAGGCAGTGTAACAAATTCAAGATGCAATCTGAGCCACTTTCTACCGTAAATGTGGTTTGGTTCTGTCAAATAGCAATACGCTTATTACTTTGCTCTATGACATCAGAAAATCCAGACCATTTTTAACCACAAACACATGATTCTGGTAACACAATGTGTGCACACATAGTTGCGCAATAGACACCAATGAAGCCTGTCATTTCTGCAAACATTCTAAAAAGCAAGAAGTGGAGAGAAATGTGTTCAAAGTAGGGAAAGATGGAGCAAAAGTTTCCCTCAGAAAGTAAAACCCTCGGTGATCTGGAACAGATCCATCTGGCCGCTTTGATGTTTTCACTGTTGCTAAGGTTGAGGTAATGGAAGACCTTCTTTTCAGCAGCACTACAGCGGTAGGGGGAAATGTCCACTGTGTGCGTGTGTGCATGTGTGCGCGCCATTGTTCTCTATGTTTGTTCTAGAATTTCTGAAGTTGTGAATCATCTGTATAAGCCAGGTTTCCTTTGGAAAAACAAGTTATTCAGTGCAGATGGTACCAGAATGACAGGAAAAGTGTCCCGACGTGTTTTCTGTCAGAGTACAGAAAGGTTACAAGTCGGACGTGGTGCAGAGAGATCGAGTGCTGGTGCACCCTGTCAGTGGCACTCTCCCTGCCCGCAACTGTCACAACAAAACATCATAGCAACTGGGCTCCTTCACTTACAGGCATGACGTCACTTGTATGAAGAAAGACCCATTTACTGGTTTATTCCAGTATGTGTGATGGGCTGCAGAACTGAGCTCTTACTACAAACATGTGCTGTGTGTGTTACATAAGGAATACAGAAAGAAACTAGCAGGAGAGGAACCTGGTCGAATGAACTAAAAAGCTACTTTTCAACCTAAAAAACAGGAATGTCACTTTCAAAAGACGTAATGTCATTACGGTCAGCGTCCCTTTTAATCGAGTTCGTTAGCAAACTGCAAATCTGCTTCCATCCCGACTGAGGAAACACAGTGATATTTTACACGGGGAAAGGCGGCTTTGCACACTTCACCCCTTCCAGGATTAGCAGGCGACTCTGATACCACTGAGCTTTAGTGAGGCTGGTGGAAATAGCTCACCTCATTCTGACAGGGACTCTTTGTGTGTTTATTTTGAACTGGCCTTGCACTGGTGTAGATGGACACACCCGCTGACTCCTGCCCTTTTATTAAACCCCCCCCTAAATGCAGCACTACAGGAGGGTGAGTGTCATGTCACTTATGATATGAAGTTACGGGTCGCAGCCAAGACAAACATTCGTTGTGCCGTTTGTGTTCTGTGTCTTGATATACTTTACTCATGGTCCTGTGGGCCGGCTTCAGTCTGCCCTCACTCATCTCCACACTTCCTATAAGCAGAAGGGTGTCTGCTACCTCGGCACTCAAGTCCCCAAAAGTGGTTCTCTTTTTGGCGAGGGAAGCTTTCTGGATCTCCACACATCTCTGAAATGGTACATTGAAAATAGATGAATCACCTCTCTCCCTCCGTGGTGGAGAGCTACAGTACATCCCGATGAGCAGGTGAAATAAATCCCCAGTGACAGTCACAAACTCTGAGGGTGTTTCCATGGAGCAGCACGGAATGAAAAGTGTGAAAACATTAGCCAAAATATGATTTATATATCTTTCCTTGGAGGAAATAACTGAAGTGGCATTCTCTGGAAGTGTCTGTTTGTGTGTGTGCGTGTGTGTGTGTGTAACCTCTTGCTGGCCACTGCGGAGGAGGAAACGACAGAAATCGTCCTGGGCCGCGAGAAAGGCCGGATCTTCTGGACCTGCAGAGTTTGCATACGCACTTAGACTCTCTTCAAAGTAGCAACCTGCAGAGTCTTCACCAGCATGGGGAAAAACAAACAAGATATCCAGGTTAACGTGGAATCTGGTAACAATTATAATATTTAGTATGATATGAATGCAAATATGATTTTGAGATTTTGTTCATTTTCAGATGTGATTTTGTACACAGCTACCATGAAGCACGCATTTGCCTTGAGACAGTTGAGAAGGGTGAATCATACTGACAACACTGAACCTCAAAATGTCCCCAATGAGACTATTATAAGTCTGCTTTCCATAACTCCATCCTATAAAACGTCACTTATAGGAAGACCAATCCTAATGAACCACTTGATATAGCCTTTCGCCCAGGCGCAGTCCGGGTCCGAGAATAACCTCACCATTGTGATGGGGCTCTGCAGCAGAAGAAAGGATGAGGGCCAGGCTGTGGGAGATCTGAGCCCCCTCCAGCTCCTCTGGGCAGTGACTCATAGCAATGGCATGGGCCTAGCAGAAACACCCACGTGGAATAAGGCAGATCACATATCACCAAACTTTACCCAACAACAAAACCTGGCACCATCTCAATAAAACTCCACGTGTGTACCAAAGGGTGTGTGTGTGTGTGTGTCCTCGCCTTGGTGAGATGCTCTATGGCCTGGTCCAAATGGCCTTCGTCCTGTTCAATGGCAGCCATGTCCCTATAGACACAACACGTCTTCTCTGGCTTACCGCAGTCCTTCAGCCATTGCAGAGACTTTTCACACCTGCTTAAGGCCTCCTCTGGTCTGCTCAGTCTCCTGTAGACCCTGTTGAGAAGAAAGGACAAACAGAGGTAGAGTCTATCAAGAGACAGACAGACGAGAACAACGACCGTGTCCAGGCCAGCACACTGTAAGAGGCAGTAACCGCAATGATTACAAAGTGTACCCTTCAAGTGGATTGTCTGCATCACTCTGTAAAGAGTACTTGAACAATTCTCTATAACTATTTTTAGAGTTTATCATTAAAAAAAAATGATACCTAATAACACTCGTTATTTATAATATCACTTGAATACAGTATATACCCATAATAAGCCTTTTACTTCAATACCACAAGCATGTTTCTCAAGCCAAAGCCAGAGCCTCTTGGCGAATGGCTGCAGTTGATGGTGCAATGCTGACTATATTAGGGAAAGCTTGCACAATGCCCTTTTTAAATGTTTTAAGTTGCGTGCTTTTCCCGGCTCTCTGTACCGCCTAGGGCTGAAGGTTACACAAGTTTTTTTTATTTTTTATCTTCCTCTTTATACTTGAATGTAGTTACAAGGCCACAGTGCTCGTCTTTCTCCGTCCCTCCCTTGGACACACACATCAGGTTTACCTTAAAATGAACCGTGTTACTAGATGGTGGGTCAGTACATTTGGTCAACACACTCCCTCATATGTTTCCCCTCAGTTTGGTTGTTGTCTGTTCTCCCACTTCTTGCTCTGCCGGAGGGACCATGCCTTTAAACGTCCTCCTCCCACTTTTGTGTTACTTATTGTTTCAATAAGTCCCTGTTTCCAGCGGTCCACAGCACAGTAACACAGCGTGGGTATTGTTGTGTTTAAACGCCTCCATTTTTGGGCTTGTAAAACTAGATTTATCGGACACCTTTACACTCGTTGTTGGTACAAAGTACACGTCATCTTTTGCAGATGCACAATAGTGTCATTGTTCTTTTAAAAATACACTTTGCTTGAGCCTCTACAGAGCAACAGGGTGGGTGGATCCCATAAGGCTTCTATGCAGCTACAAACCATCTAATGGACTCTAAATTTAATTTAAGGGGGGGGAGGAGGGGGCTTTCTGAGAGGACACACCACTAACGACTATACAATCGCCAGCTACATTGTCGTCTCAGGAACCCATTATCACAGACTCCCACATCCACACTGAGCCGAGTGTGTGTTGTGTGAACAAAGGTTGACGTATGAACGGAACCCACGCTGAAGTCGACCCCCTAACAGCATGTATTAGGTTTACGGTTTTACCCGATGTGCCTTCCAGTATCATTAGTACAGCACGCGTTGCCAGGGACAGCCTGTGTGGGAACCTAAAGCCTGAGTTAGAAAGAATGATGTCATGCTTATATAGCAGGACAACGTGCATGTGAATGGCGCCACGGTTGCACGCCAGCAGCACAGGTTACAAAAACACCATTAGTTAGAATTTTCCCCATGAATCCAAGATTGCTCCGACATAAGTTCCTTTCAGGGCAGCGGAGCTACATTCCAGCATGGCTTGAGTCCGGCCATTCTGCCCACATGGAAAACACAGAGACAATACCCCTCTATCCTCCCATGCACCCTTCATCCTTACACAGTTATATGCCACATCCCTCTGGACTACGTCCACAGGGGAGGGAATTAGCAGAATTAAGGATTTGTAGATGTTTTGCCAGGCAAGCCGCACAGCCCTCTTTTGTGAACGCTTCCAGCACATAGTTGACGTAGGTTTTGCTCCGGGGCTCTCGCTCGGAAAATGATACGCTAGGCCAAGCCAAAGTGAAAACAGAGGAAGAGAAACGCTGCAGCCTTCTCCGGCAAATCTGTGTGGTGCTTTAAAGTGACTGTGATTGTGATTAATGGTTCTATTTGCTGAGTGCCTGAGGGACATGTCGGAGAGCAACTGTGGACGAAAACTACTGAAGTTTTACCTTGCTGAAAGAAAGACAGGCAGATGCTGGGTCCTAACCACAAGAACACCTGTGGAACAGTCACTACGCTGTTTATACCATGGCAGTAGATTAACTCAATAGCATACACACTATATACTGCACACACACAGGGGAACATCTAATTAAAACCACAGCACAAAACGTATGACACTATTTGCACAAAGTCAGTGAACAACGTACAATTTAATCAATATTAACACAATAATTAAGGCGGGGGAAGATATGGAAGATTTTTCTGTTATTTCTATTTATCAACCTAAAAATGTTTAGTTCAAAAAATGATGTTGAAGATATTTATGACAGCTGCTATGAAATAAATGATTTTTGCAGCCAAGGGTCAGGCGAGAATGTGAGAACGTAATAACGAAAATGCCATCCGGCTGATCATCAGTGCCCACCTTGAACGCTAACAGAGAGCTGAGCACTGATGCAGGCTCTGGGTGGGAACGCAACCCTCCATCACAACAGTGTTGACCGACGGAGCTTTAGAAGCACGCCAAATTCAGTCATCACATAACAAAAGAGATTTAGCCAGCTTACACACCAGCCACAGTCTGCACTTTTTTCCCCATCACACACGTCACGTCAACAGACTGACTCTGGAACAGACCAAGGTGGCATCACTTACACATTCCTTTCAGTGTAGCTAACCTCAGCCACTGACGAGGACTGTTCACTGTATATGCTGCAGGATTATTTCTTCAGTTTACATGGCAACAGGATTTTCAAAACATTGGCTCAGACATAAACTCGCCTGTTTGATGGGATGATGTGCACTGGTGTTACATTACCTTTTACAGAGTATACTTCATATACCGGTTATGCTGCTCGTATCACCCACAGTTATCTAAACTATGAAAAGTAGTTGCTATTTTTAACAGTTCCGGTATCGGTGAGATGTCTGTGCGGAGCGTCTCCACCACGAGCCGCTTAGTCTTTAATCTTTTCCTGAGCATGTAATACTGCAATTGGGGCCTCTGTTGTCAATACCGCCACCAGGTTACAAATGCATATCGTAAAATGGACACAAATCAATAATGAAAGGAAAACCTTCCATCTCTTCCATCTGTGGCTCTGCTTGAGAGCACATGCAGAAATAAATCAAACCCAGCAGGGCTGTAAGCATCATTACAACACACCCGACAACAGGGGAAATTCTCATTTGTTATTGCGTTGTTGTTTTTTTGTTGAGAAGATTAAATAATAGTATTTTTACCAGCATGACTAATTTAGATGAAAACACATGAAAGATGCTATTCATGCAATTTACATGAATATATCACCACCTTGTGGCCAAACCAATATCAGGCACTGCATTTGAAATAGGACAGGTTTGAGTCCGGCTCAGGTACAATCCTGCAAATGCTGCATTAAATCCTCTCTGTGCTGCTGCTGGGACATTTCTAGATAGTATTGGTTTTCCCCAACTGAACCTGGATAGACAAGTAGAGATTTCCAGCTCAGTCTTCATCTTCTCTTCCTGGTTGATGCCACCGAGTTGATGAAGCTCCCCAAGAACTCGTTCTGCCTCCAGAAAAGAGCACTCCGCCTCTTCAAGAGTAGAAAAAGAGTCAAGGATTTTTTTTTTAAACTTGGATTTGAATTAGTCATTCTATTCGCAGACATTATTGTAAAAAAATGTATCACGGCGAAGGATATTTGTCTGTCTGCAGTGAAGCGCCACCGTGTGTGAGGTGCACGCTCAGGAGACACACAAGAACCTGGAGCTCGTCGTCCCTGCAGGAGGAGGTGGGGGAGCAGAGAGGCAGCAGCAGCTCCCTGGCCAGAGCCGAGTGCTCCTTGGCCTGCAGGCCCCAACCTCAGGGAACACAGAACCGTCGTTGAGTGTATATCAAACAGCATCCCCAAAAACAATATTTTCATATGGATGGTAAAGTTTTTGACATTTTTGGAAAATTGTTGTCACACATCTATTGTAAGAAGAAGAACAGGTTAATGCACTGACAGGATTACCTCTTTGAAATTACCTTTCAACTGGAAATATGCTGTAGCCAGTCTGGCGTGGGCCTGTGCCAGTTTCAGGCGGTCATCGGCAGAGAGCAGCCGACACAGAGCCACACAACGCACCAGGTCCTGAATGCAGGCGTCCCACTGAGCAGAGACAGCAGATAACGCACAATGCAGCCAAACTCAAATCAATAGTACTTCTGTTTTTCAGTTTAGAGGTCAGGTTAGCATTCAGAAACTAGTGTAACACATTCACCTGCCTGGCTGTTTATATCAGCAAAAACAGGTGGATTTGAGGAGAAACAAGGAGTACATGTATTGATTATGACCAACAGAAAATGTATTAGCTATGGATTTGATTATCGAGTGAATGTTTATGATGTAGAAATAGTGGACAATGATTTATAGCTTTTCTATGTATTATATCATTATAAAAGCAATATATTTGTTTTTGGTCAAACAAAAACAAGCTACTGTTTTCTACTATTCACTGATATTTATAAGAAAAATCAATAGTGAGTGCACTTAAATTGACACATGATCACGTTTCTTGTGTTCCACGTACATTCAATACCTCGAATATGACGAAATCTAAGATGCTAATGTACATCAACCCTTTTCTTCAGCTCCAACAACAACAACAACAATAGTTACGCGCATATGAATGTGTCCCTGCGCCGACCTCTTGGTTGTCCTCGTGGGCCTGAGCGCGGCTGTCTAAGTATTTGAGCTTTTCTTCAGGTGCCATCATGATGAATTCCTCTTGAGCATCTCGTGTCTGAGGGGGCCTCAGCGGACCCGGGGAACACGGAGACGCGGTGGCGCCCCTGCTGAGGCTCTCCACGCTTTCACCAGATCTACAGGTTGGTAAGTGAGCGCAGTTATCAACGCAGACGTATTTGAGCAAAGCATCTCATCATTCATCTCTAAACTTCCCGAGAAACATTTTAACAGATGATTACAGATCTGGAAAGTCACGTCAGTTGTGATGCTCTTTTTCTTCTCAATTTTCTTTTAGCCTTCACTGTCTAACGCGGAGAACAAAACGTCACTCACTGCGCAGCGCGCTCGGAGGAGCCGGCTCGTGTTCTGGTGTTGGCATGAACATCAGACATCCTCACCTGCAGACACTCGATGCGATTTGTGTTCTCTACGTGTGTGTGTGTGTGTGTTTCCGTGGTTACGCGGCAATACGTAAATTACGCAGAGTCGTACGCGCTGCGTAATTTACGTGTCGCCGCACCTAAAAATGCAACTTTACCGTAAGTTACGGTGCCAATAATGTGACTCGACGTATGTTTTACGCACGGGCGCTGGACTCCTCGACGCTGTTGTGGACTGTGTTGTCGTTTCGTGAGAGTTTCCCGTTCCTCAAGGAACGAAGCGCGCTGCATTCAAGAGCCGCATTGTTCTCAGAAATTACAAATGGCATCGCGATGTGATTAATAATGACCGTTTCTAATCGAATCGAGACAAAAACATATGTATTTACTTCTTGAGCGAACCCGTTTGATTGGCAGCTGTTTACCTCCTGTTAACATTGTACCAGCTGATAGTTTGACAACACCTGACAACGGTTCTGACCTGTAATTCAACTTTGACTCTATCTAATAAAAAACCTGCAGGCGGGTCCTTCAGCTGACTACGGAGCAGTAAAGCACAACAGATGGCACGATAAGGGCCCCATGGCACGGCATTGGTATTTAAGGCCCTGTCTTAAAAGGGCCCCTGTGCCAAAATCTAGCTTCAAGAGCATCATTTTTTTTGGCATCTATGGCAACAAGAAGATAATCCTTTGTTAATGTGAGTTAATTGAGTTGCCACACAGTAAGCCTACACCTGGGGCCGGAGAGTACTCTGTAATACACAGAGGTGGTTAATGATGGGTCACAATGGCTTACCATCCTAATACTGCCCCAGGGGTCCCACCCCGCTAGACGTTCAAGCCTCACTGAAACGCTGTGGCATCTAAAGTCATTAAAACGAGGAGGAAATCTCAATAGCGCAGCCTTTTTCCTTGGATTGCGCCAATTCACGTGAGAACTCTGCGTGTTCTGGATATTAGAGTTGTAGTATTTTGAGATGTCCACAAGGTGTCAGTAGAGTAACACAAGAGTCCCAGTAGAGTAGTACCGGATACACTGTAGTTTTTAATGTTGTGCTCAAAGGAGTTTATCATTTGGAGGGATTATAATATTGTTTTGCTCTTTTTAAGAAGTGGTGGCAGGGAGGGCGGCCTCTCCGTAGGGCATGCACGCTGCAAAGTGTTTCAACTGTGTGTTTCAATGTGAAAACCCCAGGGCCGTTGTCCTGGGTACTGATCAGACCACCATCAGTTTGTTTTCTCAGACCTTCCTTTAGGTCACCTGCTCACACCAGGAGTCTACAAAATAATACATTGTAATTTTTCTAGTGGCATTGTTTATAATGCAATATCAAAAGCATTTGCCTTTCTAATTGGTTATGATTTTGTGAAACTACAAAAAGATATTTTTTGGCAGACAGTCTTTTATCCAAATCCGCATGAACCCCCCGGATGAAATCATCTACATTTTAACATACTTCCTCTACTTACTTAATTATAGTTCCTTTCACTTTATAATGAGCATTTAGTTTAGTTTAGAGTGTAGATCTAAAATATAGCAGGAGAATACTTGTTTCACATCATTCTGTACTTCCTGTAGACCTAAATGTATAGGCCAATTTATTTAAAAGAGGAAATGTACATTTCCCTGTGAAAATATCCTTTCTTGCATCAGCACACAGAATCTTTGCCAAATAAACAAGAAGTAATGTCTCTGTGGCTGCTTTGAGAAATTGGTCTCCGGAGAGAGGCCTTTCTAGGTTAATTTATTCTGTGTCGGGTAGATTCAGTGTGTTTACTGTCACCGCTTTTAAACTCGGGGCAGGGCACATTTTGTGTGCAAGACTGCCTAAGATAACTTCTTATGGCTCCTTGGGATGGCTGCCGTCGGGTTGATTCTGGCAGCCCATGAGGCATCCAGTTTATTTGTTTGTTTGTCCCGTGAGTTTCTGGCCGGCCGCTCAGGACTCCGTTTTGGCCCCCGTCCCTGTTGGGCTTCTATTTCTGAAACCCAAGTGGCTCTTAATGAAGCTGGTCGGGCTGGCATGGGCCCTCAGCAAACGCAGGCCTCATCAGACCCTTCTTCTTCTGCCTTGGCAGCCAAACTCCATTTGCTCCCTCTGGCTTCCTAATTTAGTAACGGTGGGTAAAAATATGTGCTAACGAACAAGGTCTGGTATGTCAGGCTGGCGTCCAGAGAAGAGGGGAGAGGGAGGGGGGTTGAGGAGAGGAGTGAGTGAGTGAGTGTGTGTGTGTGTGTGCTGTTTTCACAGTAGGCACCCAGTGACAGGGGCCTCGCCGACATCTGTGTGTGTTTGCGTGTGTGTGGATATTCAAGGGAGCGTGTGGGTGTGGATGATGGGAGGTGGAGGGTGAGCACTTAACATTTCTCACCCTCGCCAAACACTTCTAACCGTTCTTCTGTTTTATTCCGACAACGCTGTGAGGCTGCACGGTGACCCCGTGGTACGCAGTGCAAAGGGGGGACGGGGGGGTTCTTATCTAACTGTGTTTCGCACACCGTGTGCAGTTTTCAGTCTGGCTCGAGAAGGCTGGCGTCTGTGAAGTGAAATGCTTTTAAAGGGGAAATTTAGACACCCTCGCCTTTCATGTAATGTGGTGTTTTTTGTCATTTGAAGTCCCAACTGTTACCGTCTCTTAATGAAACACTCAAGTGGGAAAGCAGCAGCAGGTCACGCTAGTTGCTTTAGCATGCACTGTTTTAAATATCCTCTCTTTAGGGCAGAAATAGGCTCACCTATTACTTTTGAAACATTTAACTAATAATATATTATTTTATATATACGTTGTAAAAGGGGGATGAATCAATAATTTATAGTACAGTAAAATGCCATTTGTTAGAAGTGTTTTTACATCTTTAGACACATACATTTTTTTCTGTTAAATTTGCTTTGTTCCTTTTGTTTCATTGTAATTCAATTAATGACTCCTTGCTGTAGAATAGCTCCAGAGAATCCAGACCGTAAGGAATTACTTTGCCCCAATATGAGCCATGACACCTGGGTGAACAATTTGAGTTTTACTCATGTGATTTAGAGTTTAAGTATTGCTCACTGCAAATCCTTTCTGTTCTGTTCAGCCTCGGTGAGGACTCAGTGGATCTGTAAGGTAACCCTTTCAAACGTGAGCCACAGAGCTTCCTGATTCTGTATGGGTTTAACTACAAACCCTGCAGCCAGCGGAAGAAAAACATGCCTTTACTGTATGTTTACCCCGTTCACCTCAGACTTTCAGAGTTCTTAGTTTTCCATGGACAAACATTAACGGTGAATGACTTTATTGAAATATTTCCGGTGACAGAGAGAGGAGAGGTGGTTCCATTAAGCTTCGTTTTTTTTTTTGTCAAATATTGTTCTTATTTAAATGACAGGCTTTTTTTTTCTAATGACACCAAAGTAAACTTCGAGTAAGTCGACGAGTAAACCTCGTCGACTTCCCCTGTGAGACCAAAGCTTTAGATGTAAACAGCGAAATCTCTTCGAACCAGTGGAAGCTGTACACTTACGGGACAGACCACAGCTGCTCGATTTATTACAAAAAAAATACAAGATACAACTAATTGGACCGAGAGTTTGGCACGAGCTGTACCATGAACTTTTTGCCACACAACAGCGTGATCACAGAGGGGCTCGGAACAACAAACCACACTACAGTGTTATCCACATGCAGCACGACGCCCACTACTGGTGGTTACATTCTTCTTACTGAGCTGAAAAAGAAACATCTGCACAACAACATTTTCTGTCATCTACTTTGATCATCTTCTAAATGTTTGTTTCATAATGTTTTTAGTTTAATTTATGTCTCCGTGTGAACATCCATTGAATGAGTTTTTTAAAGACATCGTCTGTTATGTGATTGTTCCCACGTAGTGATGGGCCAACAAGGCAACTGAGACCACTTATCATAAAGTCTTGATGAACAATTTTACCCAACTGAGTATTTTACCTCGAAGTGAAAGCGAGAAAGCAATTTACTGATCCGCCTCTCAGATGAACACATAAACTGTTTGGAGATATGTCACAGTTATTTGTTAGTACCGCAAAGTAGCACCTACATTTTTATACAGCTGTCCCCACTTCCTGTGCTAGCTAACCCGCAAACACCCACCCAGCAAAGAACTTCAGCCCCTGTCACAACAAATGATCTTTAGAGTCTACCATACACAGTGTTCAACATATTTTTGATATAGTCATGCAAAAAATAATAATTGCTCTTTATCCCAGGTATTATAGCAATTCTGCAGTTAATAAATTCTGCCGTTTTCTAATATTCCCGTTTCATCCTTGAGTTTAACAGTTTTATTTATTTTTTTATTCGGTGAAAACACATCAGTCTATCGCTGTGAAAGGATACGAGTGGTTTACCACTTTAACAAAGTTGTCCTAGGCTGACTCGCAGCCACTGTGCCGACGTCTTCACATCTGCTGCACTTCAGATAAAGCGTGTTATTTGCACGCAGAATAAGAAATGTGTGTTCTGTAGCGTAATCAAAGTATTTGTGCGAGTAATGCCGCTGTAGAGAAGAAGAAACAAAGCCAGCCACTTAAGCCGGGCACCCCTTCCTTTGAACTGACTGAAGCTGTCCGCAGCAAACACATGATAGTCACAGTACGATGAGATAAGCTCTCTTTCTGTGCCAGTGCCGTGTTCAACAATAGTTTGGAATTCAAATGTGAATTGTTCTCTGCTATGGCGGAGACTTAGAATGGCTTAAACTTGTTTTTATCCTTACCCAAAAACCTTGGCCTAATTTGAAGCATATGCAGAAAGCAAATCTACTATTGTTTCAACACTAAATCTCCTTCTCTTCTTTCTATTCAATGTCAAAATCAAAGATTACGCAGCGCTTTGGAGGTGATATATTGCCATTCTTTGTTTAGACAATGGCACACTAAACCAATAACTGTGTTTTGTTTGCTGATGGCGTGTACGTCTTTTCATAATTGCAGTTTTAGCAGCGCTGTGACAGAGAGATATGTGTATGGGGGAGTTTTTATCTGCTTCCAATGGCCCTGCAATCGAGCTTTAGCTGCTAAAACATGGATCAGCAACTGTTTGCCAGCCGTTTTCAACGTGCTGCAGAGGGGTTTGGTCTGTAACTCTGGTCCCTCAAACACAAAGATTACCCATCCCAACGATGGGGGGGTGGTGCAGCTCCTTGTCTTTGGTACACTGTAAGTCCAGCCTTTTAACTCCCTTATATCATGTTGTAGGCAACCAGGGGAAAAGTCTGCACGTT